GGTTTTTTATAAGAACCACCCTCTTTATCTTTTATATCATTCAATGTATGCACATTAGACATAATATTAGCATAGTTTTATATTAGAAAAAAAATGCATGAATAAATTTCCGAGATAATATACATAATCTGTTTATTCAGAATAATACATTCTTTCTAAATATCTTATTTATCCCATATATCCTATACATCTGGAATATTATTTTTCTATATATCCTGTATCTCCTATATTTTCGGAATAATATATACTTTCTATATATCCTATTTAATAAATTATTTTGGAGTATTATATTAGATATAAAAAATATTACTAGTATACTCAGACAACGCATGAGATATGATGCCCTTCTTTTTTACAAACCGATTACGATCATATTATGCAATGTGCTGAAAAAAAGCCTAGAAATAAAGTTTTAAAAGATTTAACAGATAAATATCGTACATCACAAAAATGTATTTATCGGATCTGGAAAGATGAAGAAAAAAATAGAGTTGCGTGAAATCAACCAATTCATATACCAACAGCTTCGCTTTCTAATATAAATGTTGTGGGCAGGCAGACCGAACCAGAGATCCAAGACCAAGATGTTTCTCCATTTATAGAATTGGAAAAAGAAATACGTGATGCCAAGATAGAGCCTAGCAAATTTATTGATTCAGTTTTGGAAGAAGGTGAGAAGACGAAAAAGACTGGAGAGAAGAAATCAAAGTCCAAATTCACTTTAGTAGAGCTAATTCCATCTCCCATTCAGACTCAACTGATCCACACATCGCATAAGAAGATAGCTGAATGAAACATAAAAAATATAGCGAATATGAAGAATATATTAGAAAAATAACTTGCTTATTCTTTAAGAAGTTCATTATAGCATATCTGCAATCTTTTACAATACTCATTGATTTCTGCATTATATTTAATAGTGATATATAGCATTTTTTCGAGCTCCTCATAACTCACTTTTTTTTAATGAGCAATTCTCGCTTAAGTTCTGTGAGTCCTATGAAATACACTCTGGAGTTAAGAAATCATCACATTCAGAAGTAGTCATCGTGCAATTCACCTCGAGCTTGTTCTTGACCTTATGCATAGTGACTGAAATAATTATATCTACTCCATTATGGGAGATCTTCAACTCATCTTTGTTCCAATCAATTGCGCATTTATATTTCTTAAGAAGAGGATTTGAAAATATGAGCATTGGTTTAAAGTATTTTACAACTATAAAATCTTCATATATAGTAAATTCTGGAGCTAAGGTTATCAGTAAATTGTGGATGATTCTAATGGATTCAACCGGTACAGTAGCAACACCATTAAGGTCATACTTTATGGATCTATCGATGACAGCTCCTATGTACAATACAATATCCTCTGTTATGATAGCAATTTCAGAGCAAGAATCCAGAGTCATGGCTAGGATTTTTAAACGTCTAATCTTGCACTTTATAGATGCAATGCTTGTAGATGGTTCTTTCTTTCGAACGAAGTCTATCTCTATTGGATTATCCAAAATATCTTCTTTATCTGATAGTTCTGGTATCTTCTCATCCAATTTTAATATCACAGAAACTGGCTCCCGAAAAGATGAAAAACCATCACTCTTGGATTTGACGCCTGTATCTTGAGCTAAGGCAGGCTCGTAGTTTTTAGCCTGCTGAATCATATATGAAAGCAAATTCTTAAATTTGATCTGAATAATTTTGCAGATAGTTTCTTCTAAAGACATTCACTTAGTACTTTGGCTATCTTTTTTTTCTTGGTCTGGTGAGACATTGTGAATAGGAGATGAATTACTATCCTGCTTTACCTTACAAGGCTTGAATTTATTAATGTCCTTAGTACTTAGTTGTTTATTGGAACTATCCTTCCGCCAATCTGCTCAGCGCACTTCACTTTTTTTTCCATATGATATATGAACATTAATATCACAATTTTCAGAGTCTGATTCAGCCAAAGAATTATCAGAGTTAAAATCACTATCCTCAGACTTTGACGCATCATTATCAGAAAAATTAGAATCGGGTTGTTCATCTACTGTAGTCATATGAACTCGACCACTCTTGGATTTTGAATTTCTAGTAAGTTTAGCTAAATAAATAGGCTTCGATTTGTCCTAATCTTTTTTCTAGTCCCTTATTATTGAGAGTTGAGGATTTTGAACGTTGACGCTAAGATGATTTGGTAGCTCTGGTATCTTTTCTGGTAAGTTTAGCTAAATGAGTTTCAATTTATCCTAATTTTTTTTCCAATCCCCCATTACTATAATTTAAGAGTTCTGAATATTGATGCCAAGATGATTCAGTATCTTTAGTAGCTTTCCCAGAAAGTTCAGCTAAATGAGTTTCGATAACACCACATCTCTTTATTAGTTTATCAATAATATATTTATCTAAAAATGTAGAATCTTTTGGAGCACTAGCTGACAGCCCCAAATGCTCTACGAGAATATACAGCTTATCTAATGCGTCATTATTTTGGATATTCCCTTGTGAATGTACCTGAACTGGTTGGGTTATCTGGGCTTCGAAAGAGGCTATTTTGGCATTCAACCTATCAATTTCAGTTAAGGAATTATCCTGAAAACTTTGACACCCATTTAAATTGAAAGCATGCTCCAGCCACATATCTTTTAGATTTGTAAAAAAACATTAATACTAGCAGAAGCGACAGTTCACATCCATGTATAACCATGTATAAAGAACACCTGATAAGTGGTTCTTAAGAAATCCTATAGTTTGTTCATCATTATCTGCTACACCTAATAATAAAGGTCAGATTCTTTTTTCATAAGTTTCTGACGAGTCTGTGGGTAGAAAGTTTTCTTGAGTTAATCTTTGAAGTGCTGACTACTAACTACCTACTGTTTCTTATTGATAATGTGATCTCATCCAAACACGTAAAGTAGCTGAAGAATTAATGTTAGCATTTCCATTATATGGATCTTGGGCAGGAACTGGTAAATATTTTCCTCCTATCTGAGCTTTAAAGATATCACATTTGACAGCATCATCGAAATCTCTAGCATTTGCATTTTCAAGAACAGTCATATGCCCTTGTGCAAATGATATTGATTGAATAAGTCTATCTAAATAATCATCAGGAGGTACTTGGCCTGTATAGGGCTTGGTTTTTGCAAGAACTGGTACAATCATAGTTAATACTGGTAAACATCTAGTATAATGGGTTATTCTGAAGCGCCAAAATTTGGCCTTGCAAATTTAAAATATTCTGGTCTTTTTGCCTAATCACTAGCTGAAAGACAAACTTTTCATGTAATAATTCACCAATACAGGTTTGTTTTCTTGCTATAATGATTAACATTCTATTTACCTAGTTTTAGACATTAGTCTACAACCGTTGAGTATTCTGTTGAAGACAGTTAGTATCTCGCTGATGTAATAGCTGTTTAACAAATTTTTCTCATAATAATTCTTGAACACACCTATCTTTATCCCGATATGAGAAATACTAATGGTAGGATTCTTTTTCTCATTATTATAAGCCAGAATAGCCAGATCCTGCTCTCCTTGAACATTATCTCTTTCTCTCACAGTTCTTTCAGCCTGAGTTTGGGATTCATCTAGCAAGTGTTGTGATTGCAAATTCTGATTCTTAGAGTCATTTAACTGTTGCCTGAGATTCTGAACCCGCCTATTTTCATCATTCAATATATTCTGGTATTGATCTTGCTCGGTAGTGATATTTTGCAAAGTAGCCTGAATAGTATTTAACGAGCCTCTGATACCATCTATAACATTAATGGGATTCTGCATAGGCGTACTAACTCCCCTAATGTGATTTTCAATTCGATCTAACCCTCTATTAACATTTGTGATAAGATTGGTCGTTATCATATCTAAAGCATTTATTGAGATTTTTTTATCTATGAGAATCCGGATTCTTGCTTTAAGACTCCCAACCTTATTTTCAAGCTCTATGATTCGGCCATCTTAAATAGACCCAACCTCATCTTTGAATTTTTTATCCTGTTATAAAACCCTAAGCTGTTTTCGCAAATCAGATATTTCTGATTTAAGTTTCTCCACCTTTTTTTCATGGGCTATGATAGTATTATCCTGTAACGAAATAGTTCGATAATATTGTTCTAGCTTCTTCATAAGAGAATGAATTTTTTTTCTCATTACTTTTATTATTGGAGATCTCATCCTGAAGCTTATTACAAAGCTCCTGATTCATATCTAAAAGCTGTGAATATGCTAGATCAAACATGGTATTATTCAGCGCTGATTTATAGTACTATCATAATAATCCTACCTTGAAAATGAGTCAACCGCAAATTGTGATAGATTCCAATGAAGAGTTCCGTATAGTCTGTAGACTTTTATTTTATAATATACCCAGTTTTCATCCCAATGCAAAAAAATTACATAAAGCATGTCAGGAGAAAGGATATTCTTTTCGATTACAGGATATCGCAAAATGGGTAAAACACCAATATAGCTACCAAATCTATCAATAGCATTGCTATGCAAAGCTGAGGCGAGTTTCTCAAAATTAAAATTCCAAATAAGGTGCATCAGTATGATATTTTGCTCCATACTCATGATGACCAGGATGGTAGAAGTGTATTCATTTGTAGTTTTCTAGTCATAGATGTAGCAACATATTTTAAAGCTGTACGTTCATTAACATTAAGAAATAGTTTAAAAATCTGGAATGCGGTCGAAGAAATATATGAGGACACCTCTAATCCTCTTACATAGCCAGGATTATTGATGACTGATAGTGATGCTTCGTTCTGAGATGCATTTTTACGAGGGATGGAATAGCATAATGTTCCAATACGTATCATTGACCTTTATAGTTTTGAGAGCCTGGCTTTGATCAAAGCATTCAAGAAAAATCTAGCAAAATTAATATATAAGATCAAATATTCTATAGAAAGGCGATTGGCCGAAGGAGAACAATCAAGACTATGGAATAAAATTCTTGAGAAATACATTGATTTTATGAATAATAGTAAGACTCACCTTATCGGAATGTCACCAGCTCATGCTATGACTTTGGAAGAGGTCGAATCGAAACCTTCTAGTAAAGCTAAACAGGCAATTGGAAGATATGAAGAGATAAAGTTAAAAAAGGGTATAGCGGTTAGATATCTATTGAAACTGGGTGAGCTGAAAGGTAATCACAGGTATTGAGCAACTGATCCGTACTGGTTATTACGTATATACAAGATCAAAAGAGTTGTTGTCAGAAGGAATCCACCACAAATAGTCGTATATTATCTTGAGAATGAGCCTATTGAATCCACTGCTCACTTGATAGGACAGAACCCCAAGCAACCTTTCAAATATGAGGAACTTCAAGTAATTGAAGAACCTGATAAAGTTGAGTATCCGCCAGATGAATTTATGCGAAAATACCACCCTACTGGATTTATCTATTATGTTAATGCTTCCAGTAATAAGTCAGTTCAGACTAGTAATACCTGACGAAATTACCTTTCTTAATATGACGAAATTGACGAAACTAAAATGACGAAACTAGTTTTTTATTAATGACGAAATTATTTTACTTAATTGCCGAAATTATATTTAACTTGATCTAAATTCCTTAAATTAAAATACATTAAAAAATATAATAATTTTATATTTATTCATATAAAAATATTAAAGAGACAAAACTTTTGATAAAATTACAATTTTTCAAAAAAGAGTTTAGTCAGGTATCACTAGTTCAGACTGTGGATTATGCCGAAAAACGTGGTGGACTATGCATTAGAAAGATCGGGCAAATAAATAGTCATGATGTATATCTTTGGTCTTGCGAAAATGATGCGTATCAATGGGAGTATCCATTAAAGTATATCATGAAAAAATTCGAATGGTGTCCTCTTTGTCATTATAGAAGCAATGAACGCCGATGCTGATATATTTTTGAGGATCTGTTAGGAAAGAAATTCCCATCATGTAGGCCAATTTTTTTGGATGTAATGCAACTCGATAGATATAATGAGGAATTACAACTAGCATTCGAATTTTATGGTCGACAACACTATGCTCTTAATTCTATGTTTTATAGGAGAAGCCAGATAGATTTAAACGAGCAAAAGTCATGAGATCAAAGGAAGCGGGATATATGCAAGAAGTAAGGTATATGTCTTATCGAAGTGCTATATACATGTAACCTTTTTCCATTTATTAGACATACACTAATTGAGAAAGGATCTTAAAGAGTAGTAGACCACAACTTATTTCTAAGAATGAATATGAGAAAAAAGGGATTTATTATTAATAATTATCTTATTCACTATGAGGCAAATGCTATTTTTTATATACAACGTCGACGAAATAAAGAATGCGGAAAAAAATAATGGCCATAAAGCTAGTCCTGAGTGGTCATTTAAATTACTAGTATATGGTCGGAGCAATTCAGGAAAAACAAATATGATCATTAATCTCTTGCTTGGAGATAAACTTTACCGAATTTTCAATGGAAAAAAGGGAGGGAATTGGTATATAAAAAATGATGATCTTATTTTATTTAGACGTCACCTTGAACCAAAATATTTATACCTTTGGGATTGTTATCAAATTATTGCTAATAGCTCCAAGCTATATTATGAGAATATTACATTTCAGACAATAAAGCCTGATAAAATTCCAAATATAGATTCATTCTCTCTCCTACAAGAAACACAGTAGCTATTTTTGAGGATACATGCAGTAAATCCAAGAAGGTGCAAAAAAGATTGTTCCTTATTTTACTAAAGGGCGCTATTCCAATATAAGTTCAATGTATGTAACGTAAAGCTTTTTTGACTGTTCGTTAATAATACGAATAAATTTGGATTAAATTGTTCTCTTCAATGGGAATTGCATCACAGATGACCTTGCCAGAATTCTCCACTGCTATGTTGATAACTGGCGTGATGTAGTCAAGATCATTGATAAATATCTACATGACAGACAATTCGTTGTGATTGATCTAACAAGAGAAAAAGACAACCCATTATTTTTACGTATTGGTTGGGATACACCACTTCTTAGTGAGTAGAATTTTCACTCAAAGCTATTGATGAAGTGAGTCAAAATGTATATTTTTTCTGGGCTTTAAGGTCACGTTCAGACTCACTACGCCTCTTTACCCATAATTTCCTTTCATAAGTGCTGAAATATATTTCTAGTTCTATAGTTATATCATTATATTTTCTATGGGAGAAATCTGATCAACAAGAGCGATAATTTTCCTATTCTTAGCAGAAATAATATCCTCCAGATGCCGGCATTTATTCTCTAATATGTCAATGGACTTTTCTGCTGATGCAATGGTTTCCTTTGTATCAGAAATGATACTCTTGAAAAAGCTACTGAATCTGATAATTAGCTGACTTTTCCACTACTCTCTTCTAAAAACCTGGTCATGGCTACCTCACAAGACTTATACTGCTCTTGCAAATCAAGAAACTCTTCAATCTTTTTTTCCAATACCTGCTTTGATATATACAATTCCTCATTTTCTTGCCTTAACGAAGTTTCACAATCGCTAGTAATAGGCTTTCTCTGATGCTCTTTTTTCTTAATATATTTTACAACTACCTGATTTAACATATCTTCCACTTCAGGGTGAATAATACCACTTGCCTGTTTCAGCAATAATAAGTATTTTCGAGATATAAGGCGTCGCTATATATATAATTTTATGGATCGAGAAAGTTGGTTAAGTTGCTTCAAGTAATATATGTGAAAAGATGGTGTAAGTATATTATTGGTCATTTTATACAAAAAATAAAAAATTCTAAGAGTCTAAGAATTCTGGATATTTGGTGAATTTAGAGCATTCTGCCACTCACATAGACGAAGTCTACCAGGATATAGTTATATGCGTTAATATCATGAGAGATCTGCTAGAAAACTGTAACATGATCAAAATGCACATGACACCCGACCATTGGTCAACAAGAAAAATCATTTGGTAGGAAGCCCTGACGCTAAAGAAATTTTGACATGATCATGTCTTTTGTGATACAGGTAATATATTTTTATTAATACATTTTGCAATTGCATATCTTCCAATTTTACAATTCTGGCTTTAAGCTCAACATTCTGGCTTCAATCTCAGCAAACTTCTTTCTAAGTTTAGCATTTTCAATCTCAAGCCTGACAATGCATATTTTTAGTGAATTGGTCTCATCTATTTCAGATTGCTTGCTAGCATAATGTAGTATTAGTATATTAATATTCAAAAGTAAAAAATATATAACATGTTTTTCGAGACCGCGCGGTCCCGCAAATTTGCCAAGAAATTTTACACTTCCATCCCACCCACATGAAATAAATATTAATGTATTTTTTTAAAATCGACCACTAGGGTCAAGTTTATTGATACAGAAAAAATATAATAAAATTACAGGATAAAAGATATATAAATATATTCTAGAAGTTCGCGCTTTTTTCTTACTTAGTCTTTCACTTTTGCGTGATATTGGGCTTCTCTCACTATTTTTTCTAGATCTTTTTTGTAAACAACTGGCAATTCCCTGTATATTTATAATAATTCCATTCTAAAAAAACCTGTAGTTAGCTCGTCTTAATAAATTTCGAAAAATACTTTCTTTACCCTATAAAGTAGAACTAGTATGAATAAAAAATCTTACTCGTAAAGTCAATAAGGCATGGATAAATTCTTCTAATTCTTCTGCTAATTCTTTGTGAAAGGTTATTTTTACTCTCGAAACTGGAAAGTAGTACTTGACCCCTTTTTCACGTACCAATCCATGTATTTCAATACATTTACCTGCGATATTGATACCAAACCCCCTATATAATTTCTATTGTGAAAAAATATACGAATCATAAGATCTGGTTCATTCCCTCTTGACACTTTTTTTGTTGAACTTTACAATTTTTACTAGCTATACTCTGTCGTTCAGCTCTTATAACCTCAATCTCATATTCTACAGACAAACGGTATATAGCAGTATCCATTAATCGAACTATAATTTCTACGAGAGAATTTTCGGAGCCATTAGAAACCTTATGAAATGCATTTAACTTTATCTCTTGGTAAAAGCACGTTAGTAATTCCTCTAGCTACACATTCTTTTTCATGTTCTTCTTCGACCCACTAGTCATGTGATACCTTTTCTGATGATGATAGGACAAATTTGCGTAGTTGATATACTTCTTTCCTTTTTAATACAAAATCAGCACATAGATTTTTTATTTCAAAACTTTTAGACAACTCTCTTATACCAGCTTTTTCTCCCTAGAAAAAATATAGAAAGCAGTTAGTATATATCTTCAATTAATAATAAAATCAATTTATTTATACCATAAGATCGATATGATTATTCTCTGAGAGTTAGTATTTATCTGAACTAAGATCAATTACACTATTACATAATGGATCACCTTGTGACAAATCCTCAACTCTAACTTCACAAATCTTTGTAAATATATGATCGTGAGTTGGTGTTCTCTCATTTTTAATAGTGCTTTTTAAAATAGCTATATTATTAAAAGCTGTATTTCTCCAGTTTATATATTCTTTAAAATTTCCCTGTAATTCACCTGCATCTACCAATGATACGAGTTTGTCACAAGAATAATAAATCTAAAATAGAGGCAGGTTAATATATTCACAAAATATCATCCTTGCGCAAGTAAGAGGACCTTCTGCCTAATCAGTAGTTGCTGGCACTTTTTTACTGTCTATGATCATCAATATAAGTACAATGAAAAAGAACTCTCATTAGTATATAACTGCTTAATTCAATTGAATTATACTCATTAATGCAAACAGTCTATATGCATCATTTTTTTAACAATAGTATCAATAACAATAATAAATTGCGTTACTTACCCTATTAATATCTTGTAATGATCGAATATACTCCTTACGCTCGGTATTGATGATTTCATTTTTAACGCTTTTTAATATATTAATAAGACACTCGCAGTCTTTTTTTTTAGATTGAATCTTGAATAGCTTCTATTGCTGAGTGAATATTCTAGAAATAGTAATTTTTTCCAAAGAAGCAGTTTTTAAAAAATAATATAAGGGGGTAAAAATTTCAGTTGAGACAATTGAGTCAAATATATTTTAGTAATTAGTTCAAAGTATTAAAAAATGAGATGATCTTAGTATTTTGCAATAATTCAAGAAGAGGCAAAATCACTATAAAGTAAGGAAAGACTAAAAATTCTGCATACTTACCCTTTTAAATCTACATTCACATCCTCTCTAACTCGCATTCATGTTTGAGAAGAGATAGGAGAAATATGCGAGGCACTTTATGCCAAAATTTTGTGTTAGAGAATAAGGACATGCAGAATATGCATTAAAGATTTCAATATTTACAAAGGTGTTGGGGAATATGTATATACATACTTTTTTTCTCTATTTTACTTATCCGACCGCTCAGTAATAAAAACCTAGTAGCATTATACAAATACACTCCAATCAAAGTCTAGTAGGAATAGTCTGTAGCTCTGGAGAAAATATACTCATTAATAAATGCTGTTCAGATAGATAGGGAAATTCGAAATATTCTTGAGGATTGATTTCTTATGTGTGATAATTAATTTGTCGCACAAACAGTCACAGAGAGTTACAGATGATTTGCGGAGTATGCATTTCTGGAATGTGTGTCAGGTTTGTGATGCAATTTATATATAATGTGGCTGGTATCATGAGTATGAAATTTAACTGTCACCGTATCACATTACTCTTCAACACGCTGTTTATATTTATCCCAGTAACTTAGTTTTTTTGAGTGGGCTAAATCTTATTTGTCACGCACTATTTGTCACTGCTACACCACAAACCTGGTATACATTCCAGAAGTGTATGAAACATCACCTATTACATCATATAAACTAACGAGGATCAAAAACGTGCTAATTTCGCATACGTCAACATGCATTATAACTATACATGAAGTCGAAATGAAAACCCAAAAAGTCGAAATGTTTCGACTTTGGAGGTCAAAATTGAAATGAAAAGTCGAAATGGTCGAAATTACGTCATATCACATGATTTTTTATATATAGAAAAAACAAAAAAAAACAA